AATATCTGCAAAAGGACAAAATATCGCTGCAAATAAACATTTAAGTTTATGGACTCGAAAGATATTACCGATTCGTGATCTCCTTTTTCTTTAGTTTCGCGTTTCGGTCCAGCGGCCATATTGGCGACATGTGGCGGGAGATTTAGGCGGGAAACGTGCCTTGCCATATTAGATTATGTCGAAATGAATTGCGCGCTACTATTGGATGTGTTATTGACGTAGATTTGCGATCGGAGGAACGAACTGATATTTCGTATTGTTATTAGAGAGGCTCCCCGCGGACGTGCACGGCGTCTCAAGTGTGCCTCCGATACGCCGCCCGTTCGCCCTTATGGACCTATCGTTTAGACTTTAGGCCTCTTTATATTTTTCTTATGTAAATACAGTTCTATATCCAATGATCTTTATTTATGTGGGAATCGTTTTAACGAAATACATCTATATTCGGTCCCAGTGTTCAGTTCTTGTTACGCATGTAAATTTTTCCTTTAGGGATATAGGGATACTGTAATCATTATAATAGGTAATAATTAATATGAGTTTATGTTATTTTGAACATATTCGTATCGATTTCTATTTAAGTTTTTAAGATGTAAATTGTAAATTAAGGCTAAGGCTTAAACTAAGAATTCAAATAATAAATAAATTTTATATGTAGGTACCTATAGTATAGATAGTGTAGATTATATATTATATATGAAAAACATTATTTTTCATTTCACCTACCGATTTTTTGCCCCACATTCTCAGAAGCTTTATTTTTTCAAAAAAAGTCAACTTGCATAGGAATTAGTTTTTCTGTGGAACTAATTTATAAAAAATAATTTATAAAAACCAAACCATAAAGTATTATAAAAATGACACTATATAAATATACTATACCTACCTACAATAACATTCTGAGTCGAATCTGTACATTTAATATTTTTTGGAAAATCTTATTGAAATAGACATTATTATAGATACAGAGGCCGAATTTCTAGTTTATAAAAATTTTGTCTGTCTGTCTGTCTGTGCCCGCATCACGGAAAACCCACTGGAGAAAATTTGGTATGGTGATAGCTGTTTATCAGAATCAACATATAGAATACTTTCTATTGCGGAAAAATACAAATACAAATCTATACTAAACGTTAAAACGTCGCTAGTTATAAATAGTTTATAAATATATAATAACATATTTGTTTTAATATTAAAAACGATTACCTACTGAACATTTATACTGACTTAAAAATATTTTTATTAAAAATTATACCTAATCAGTTTCGTTATATTTAAATATTTAGAAAGTTTTTGTGTTTTTTTTATATTATATAAAGTATTTATCTCACTATTTAGAACTGTAATTACAATTTTAAATACAAATTATATTTCTATTACGAAGTGGACACGGTAGTGACAGTTTATTTAGACTCTAGAGTCTAGACTAACAATATCATAAGGATGTAAATGTTATTCAACTTCAGTGGAACCAACAATTAATTTCAGATACTCTTATCACACTTCCTATAACATTATAAAATTAGTATTTGAGAAAGCGGCTTTATTTATTCCTAGAAAAGGATATATTACATAATAACTATATAAGACGGATTTACAAACAGACACATTTTAAAAGTACGTCGAATTTGAAGTGTCGTCAAAGATCAAAAGGAACTTGTGCCACAGTGAGTGCTGTTAAAACATCTTTAAGGGCCTCCGAACGGTAAACAGTAGCTGCGACTTAGGCATAAGTTAAAAGAATAGGCGTTATTTTCAAGAAATTGTTAATATTTAATTTTAAATAATAAAGGTAAAATATATTATAGAAAAGGTTTTGTTTATTCTCAAAACGAAGATATCAGTCTCAAACAAACAATTTATTAGAAATTTTAAAACACAATTTGTGTTCTGTATGTAAATTAAAAATATGATAAAAATATGTTGAGAGGCAGAAGAAGATGATAAGAAATATTAATTTATAATTCAATTTAACATGCGTATAGTATCAACTATTAACACGTTATTCGCAAAATAAATAAATATGTTGGGACATTAACACACAGCGCCATCTAGTTCCATGGTAAGCTACGAGGCTTGTGTTATGGATACCAGATAGTTGATACACTACATATATATAACTTTAAATACATACATATTATAAATATAAACACCTATGACTGGAGTACAAACATTCGTGTCCATCACACAAATGAATGCCCCCAGCGGGACTCGAACCCGCGACCGCTGGCACAACAAGTGGGGTCACTACAAACTTTTTTTTTTAAGATTTTTATTGAACATACGAGTAACATCAAGATCAGATCAGATTTTTATTCAACAAATAAATATTGAACTGAGCCAAACATGTCGTCAAAATAAAAACCTTAAAAGTCTCTTCAACAACGCTCTTAACTTAAAGTCAAGGCGCGCACCGCGGCGTGCTTTGAACCCTGGGGTAGTTATGAAAATTAATAAAGCGTCGTGTAATTGCTTCCGATAAACAGCCGCGCAGAGGCACACCCATTTTTTGTCGATCCTCTAATGATTTAATGAACATAACGTAAAATGTCGATGTGATAAAATTGTTAGTGATTTAAAAGATGAATATATTTCAGTAGTACTTCATATTAAGTTATCAAAATACACAAACAATTCAACGTTAAGTTGAATGAAATTAAAGTAGATACCTAACTATTATTATTAACATTTACTGTAGTATATTTATGCATTAAACGACAAAAACTATCCGAAAAACTTTCAGTCTAGCGAGCAAATAGACATACGCAATATTGAAAATTGTCCAGATTTTACGAGTATAGTTATCAATTAAATCACATCGATCTATATGGATCGAATAGGATAAAATATAATGTAAAAATGTTTTACACAACGTTCTCATCATTAATATTCTTCAATGTGCCACGAGTTGCTATTAAACACGAACACCTGTCATTTGTGATAACATTATCTCCACGTAAGTAGCACTGCAGCCGTCGGGAACATAAAAGAAAATCTTCACTTAGCAGACAACTTGCCTAACATAATATGAATTATACTAACTACTTGACTGGCGCCAATGGCCATAAAGAGATATTTTTAGAACTTGTTTAGGATATCTATCTAAGATCATTTATAATATTAGGCGTCGTCTTAATTTAGTATCGTTGGGATACTATAAAAACTCCAATAAGATAAAAACGCTGAAAATGAATGATCTAATAGAAATTTCTGCGCTCTTCTATGCACTTCAACACTTGACGTTCTTTAAAATAGATGATTCAAACAAACCTCTGTTTATACCTAAAACTTCTAATAATATTGAAATACTAGTAATTTAGAAGGATAGAAGAACTCTCCTAATTTTATAGAGCTTTACAGAAAAATGACAATATGGTTTTGCAATTATATTAAATCATTAAGTCAACATTATCTATACATATAATAAAATTGTAACTAAGCCGAATCTGTACATTAAATATTTTTTGGAAAATCTTATTGAAATAAACATTATTATCGATACAGAGGCCGAATCTATAGTTTTTTGAATTTTTATCTGTCTGTCTGTCTATCTGTCTGTTACTGCATCACGGAAAAACCACTGGAGGGATTTTGATGAAACTTGGTATGGTGATAGCTGGTTATCCAGGTCAACATATAGGATACTTTTTACTGCGGGAAAATATCTAATTTCTGAGAAAAAATACAAAAACTGCAATGTAAGAGTATATTAATATGTAAAACCTAAGAATTTGGTTTTTGATCATCTGAACGCGGACGGAGCCGCGGGCAATGCTAGTTAAATAATAAAGCACGTTGACTGATATTTTTCACATTGTACACGTCACATGTTCAATGTAAATAGACCAAAAGCAAAAACTGCCAATCTTATTCAACCAAATCATTACCAATTCATTTATATTTATACGCAGAGCTCACGACTCATATCAAGAAACGTATAAAGCTAAAAGAACCTATCAATAAAACCGAACTTAACGTGTTCCGAAATAAAACACTTTGTTATTAAGTTGACAAGCAACCGTAAAAATGTTCTTTTAAAATGTAAAATAAACAGATCAATCATGTTAAAGCGATCCCACCGGGCTCGATCTCCGAAAAGAAGCCTACGTAAGCGTCTATTATAAAGCACAGATGTTACCACAAGACTGATTTTGTTTTTCGTCCCTGTTGTACCCGCATTTTGTTATATCGTTTGAGCGGGATGAATTATAAAAGTGATACGTATTTTTTTATTCTTTTTCAAAACAAGAATTGTTCTACATTCAGGAGTGATTGACACGCGGTCGCCGGCGGCGCGGCGCCCCCCGACGCGAGGTATTAAGCATTTCACAAGATGGCCCTACCAGTATTATCATTTTATAATTTATTACGCTAATTACGAAAGGTCCGCATTAAAAATAAAACAAAAGTAGGTATAACAGGGGTCATTTTTATACTGTAGACGCGTTGCGGACAAGCATTGTGTTACTTTTCATGTAAATAAATCTACAAGGGGACCTCATCAATCAAGTTGTCGTATGAACGGGAAGTCCCGCAGGCTGATTACGTATCTAGCAAACCACTCGCGATAGCGAAAATCGTACAATAATTGCTGTCCAATCGCAAAATCGTATTATGTATCGGCAATAGCGAAACAATCGCAAACAAGTGACAGTGCTTCCTCTGTCGAGCAATCGGTGAACTATATGTGCATTTTAATCTATGAAATTACGATTTTTTCGTATTAGGTATGACTCACGAGAGCAATGCGATAGCAATCAACAAGCAATATAATCTGTCAGTTTGCGATAGCCCTAGAAGTGATTTTTTGCCGATTGCTGATCTATTGTTTGTCGTTAATTTTAGGATTTTCTCTTATATTGTTATAAATGCTGCGTTTTTTATGTGTATAAAAAGTGATTATAATATTTTTAACTATTTTGGTGTTGATAAATTGTAGTAAGTGTAAAGCGTAGTTTCTGTTTACGTTACTTGTTGGTCTTTGATCATTTGCATTCGACATGGCTCGTGGTTTTCTTTTATTTGAGGCACTAGAGATTGAGAACCGTGAAAACCAACGGCGTCACAGCCGCGTTACAGCACGACTGAGACGTAGACTTCGAAATCAAGCCGAAGCTTTGGCGCTTTCTGATACTGACTTCAAAGCCAACTACAGACTTACTAAGGAGCTGTTTAAACATTTATGCTCAGAGTTAAAACCATTCATGGTTCGGTTGAAAAGGAGAACAAAAATCTCTGTAGAATGCAAAGTAAGTAAATAATAATATCGTAATGTATGCAATATTGTCCTTTATTGACTTAACAGGAGGCTTAATGTTAATATAATGTGATATTACAGGTGCTTACAGCTCTCTCATTCTATGCCACTGGCTCTTATCAGAAGCCTGTTGGCATGAGCTACTTGCATGGGCTCAGTCAAGCTAGTGTATCTAATGCTGTGAAAGAAGTGACTAGGGCATTAAATACACACAGTATACTGACCAAGTACATACATTTCCCTCAGTCTCGACAAGAAAGACAGGCAATAATAAATGGGTAAGGACTAGAAGATTTGTAAAAATTGTAGTTTCACAACTGTTTTTACTGTATGATTCACTAATTCACTTTATTTTAGCTTTTCAAATAAATTTGGTTTTCCTGGTTGCTTGGGTTGTATAGATGGTACCCATGTAGCTCTTATTAAGCCAACAGAGCATGAGGAGAGATTTTTTAATAGGAAACATTACCATTCACGAAATGTTCAAATGGTAAGTAATTCATACATATTTTTTTGTACTTATGACAACTAGTGTTGACCCCACAGTTTCACTTAAATTAAGTTCTATTTCACCCTCCAGGGATTAAATTTTAAAATATTGGTTAAAGAATGCCTACATCATAATAATCATCTATATGAAAAATTTAAATCGGTCCTGTAGTTATATCTGTGCATTGATATAAATCAGTCAGTCAGTTACCTTTTCTTTATATATTTTTAGAAAATTTTAGTCCATTATTGTATATTATAATTCATGTACACAAATCTACATAAATGTATTTTTTCTAGATATGTGATAGTGATTTAAATATTTTAAATATTGATGCATCATTTGGTGGTGCTTCACATGATGCATACATATGGAAAAATGGTGAAATTCAGAGCCATCTCCAAGAGCTTCACAGTAGAGGTGAAAATGTCTGGTTTCTAGGTGCATAGAATAACTAATAATATTACATTAAAAGAGCAATATGAATATTTTTAATAAACATCAGTAATTTACAGGTGATTCTGGATATCCACTGAGGCCATGGCTTTTAACTCCAATTGTAAATGCAGAACCTGGTAGTGCAGAAGAGCACTACACAAATGTTCACTGTCGTACCAGAAATACAGTGGAGCGCTGCATTGGAGTTCTAAAAGCGCGTTGGAGATGTCTATTGGCACACAGAGTACTACATTATGACCACCACATGGTGGCTATGATTATTAATGCCTGTTCTGTATTACATAATATTTGCAATAGACATCGCTTGCCAGTACCACAATTGCCCCATGATGATGTTGAAAATGATTTGAATCATCGAGTTCCACGAACACCTCTAGCTGTGGGTGCTGATGCAGAACAACAGCTCTTGGCCAGTGGGAGACTACAAAGAGACAGAATAGTGCAACGTTTGTGGTCAGCCCCCAGACAATAAATAATACAATTATTTTAATTATATAAAAATTTATTAAATATATATATATATATATATATATATATATATATATATATATATATATATAGGTATGTATGTAGATATATATATAAATCTTAGAACATATTTGCTAAAAGTAAATACTGCTTGCAGATTTCCTTATAAAACAAAAAAATAAAATAAAAAATGTAATGTTCAACAGTATTATTTTTATTTTTCTTCCTGTTTTTCTCTGATTAGCTCTATCAGAGCATGGATATTTTCATGTTGCACACGTACTAATTCAACAAGAGATCGCATCGTATCTGCTTGCACCTTAGCTGCTTCGGCTTGTGCTCGCGTAGACTCTGCCATAATAAGAGCAGCCTCTGCAAGCTTGGTCTCTGCATCAACTCTGCGATTCTCTAGTCCTTTTACCCATTCTGGGTCAATTTTAGATTGAACTGAAATAAAATAATATTTTAATTTTATTCAAAACAATACAGTAAAGCATTCATTATTATTATTAAACAAAATTTTCTAAAGTGATCTTACCTGTAGTTTTAGATTTATAAGGGCTATTAAGTCTTCGTGGGCGATAGATATGTGGTCGCGCCACTGGACTATCTAATCCTGTAAAATAATATGATTATAGCTTTATGTATTTTAATAAGGAAACTAATTATTTTATTATAAATAAGTATAAGCACCAGTCAGTGGTGGTTCTGTGTTTACGTCCATTTTTACTGATACAGAACCAGTTTCTGGAATTTGGGAAGTGCCTGTGAATAAACAAATAAAAATTGTTAAAAATAAACAAATTAAAATTGTTAAAAATAAACAAATTAAAATTCATTTTTTTCATAACTTACATATAAGCCTTAGCAGATGTATATATGTATGTCATAATAGCTATCCATATGCCTATCAGCTCAATCTGTCCAGTGGTTTGAGCTGAGTATTGATAGATCAGACAGACAATCATCTTTTTGTTGTATATTAAGTTCGAGATATGATATATTATTATAACAGTACTTTTTAGTTTTATAAAAATCATAACACTTACATAGGTTGGATGTTTGACCTCTTGTGGAAGGTGAGGCCACAGTAACAGGCTCTGATAACACCATAATTTGCACATCATCTGCTTTATTATCTAAAATTTATTTATAAGATAATTGAAATTAAAAAAGAATAATATTAAAACTAATACTGAAATATTACAAAAAATATTTAATTGGTACAATTGTGTGACATGCAGTACCACTATTTTAAATGACATTTAAACCAAACCATTACTTAAAGCCTTGAAATATTTTAAGTTAATAAATAATATATATGAATCAGTCTTAGATAAAGTTATAATAAAACAAAATATATTTTCCCAACATCCCATTGCCTGACATCACATCACAGATCCTCTTCTAAATAACTTACTTGGTAATTCATATGATGTTGATGGTTCTGGTGTTAACTGTTCACTGATCTAAAAAAGAATAAGTATTTAGTTTTCATAAATAATAATCATATTAAAAAAGCTATCAAAGAAACTTACAAATGGAATTCGGTGCTCAGTATCACCAAACACAGCTTGCTCCCCGATGATAGACAAGATTTTCTTGTCTACCTCGGAGAGGTCATCTTGGCTACAAGGACCACCACCAGTACCCAAAGCATCCCTTCTCCATTTAGCTAGCCTAGCCTTGCTCTTATGCTTAATATCAGCCCAGTACTATAACAACAAAAGTATTTATCACAACGTATAAAGAGCAGTACAGCTCTATCTCATAAATAAAATGTTATTTTCAAGCAGTTTTTCAATTAATATGTTAAAAATGGATCTCTTTTCTATAATATTATGAGAACTTACCTTTTTCCATCGTTGTCCAGATTTCGACGACCCAGAACCATGGGAATTGAGCTTTGTAGCAAGACTGTCCCATTGCTTGTCGACAGCTTCCTTGGATCTTGCTCCAAGCCCAACTCCCTTGGCCAAGGTAGGATGCTCGCTAAGGAACTCTAAGAGTTCTTCGAGCTGGTCGTTCGATACTCTATTAGTATTTGCCATATTTTATAAAAAGTATAAACAAAACAAATTACTACTTAGAATCCAATTAACAAATGTCAATTAGCATTTTTTCACAGATTATATATTAGTTGCTACGTTTTTAGTTTTAATTATCGCTACCAAATTGTTAGTGGCGCTAGTTACATCGCGAAAACTGCATTTGGCGATCAGCGAACGATTAGCGAGCGATCGCTTAGGTAATACGATTATTTTTCACCTAGAGCAATCAATCGCGCGTCTTCTGCGCAATGACTGCACAATTATCGCTGATCGCTTAATTTTAGATAATAAGCCCGCCGTTTCACATTATTATGCAGATCTATGATTAAAAGATTTAAAAATAACGAATTTATGACATTTGTTTATTATTAAGTAACCCTTTTATATTTCAATATATTTTTTTATTTACAAAAAAATAAATAAAACTTCAAGTGATTTAGTCAGGTTTGTTTTTATTTATGACACGAGTTATTTGTCATCTTATTTTTTAAATGACAGACTTAAACGTTAATTAATCACTTCTTGAAGAAATCTTTAAGTTGTGCTACAAAATTCCATTCTTTAGTTAAAAATATTAATAGGCATGTAATCACAATGATTATATTTAACAACACAATAAGGAATACTATAAATATTTATTGCTGCATATTCATGGCGAGTAATAAAGCAGTATGGGCAGGACGGGTCTAATTGAATCCGCCACGACGTGAGAAGACTAACCATCGGCTAATCCTCGGACCCGGCCCATACATGACCCCTACATGTATATAATTGGAGATTTTACGAGATAGCACTATAACAACTAATTAAAGACCGACCTTCTATAATAGACAAATGAGAGATGAACTAAGACAAATAACAGCAAGAAATGTTATGCTAGGTAATTAATTATATTTCATATGCATAATTTCTATAAGATAAAGATAACAATCAATCTCGCGCGGTAATCATGGATCGACTACTTCAGTAATAAAAGATTATCATCGGTAATACGGGCTTACCCAAACTCAGCCCATTCGGTTAAACTGAGCGCGTGAATTTACAATCTACTTAACAAATACACGGCCTGACTCTGAATACCTATCTATTAGTGAGTTAATGTACTTACAAAACTGTCGTAAGTCTAAACAAGTGAACACAGAACAACGGATTGAATCAAATTAGCGGTAAAATGTTACACACTTTACAAGTAGGAAGCATGTAAATATACTGTACGGTTAATATTGTAAATTATAAATTTTACGTTTTACTTATTCAAATAAGTTATATACCAAACATTGAAAAAAATGCCCGAAAAATGCCTACTGATAAAAAGGAGATATTTAATAAGAATAACGAGCAATAACAGAAAAAAAAATCTCTTTCTCCCAAAAATTTTTTTTATTTATTTGGTCTGAGCTTTCTCCAGTACCGCTTTATAGAATATCTGAGGCTACGACGGTTGAAATCAAATTACTCTTTGGCATAGTTGTTCCTTTATACACATTTACATAGACGTATATAGGCGTCAAGTTAAGCAGAAACAGGGATTTAATGCGTATTTCGTCGCGTTTCCCTACTCTCTCCGTGAGCCGGTAAGCTGCGGCACACTCGCAATACAAACATCGCCACCGAGCCTAAAAGAGCTTTTGGCTTAACGCTTCTTGCGCTCAACTTGATATCAGACTTCTAACTTGTAATTCGAGATACAGGCGCTGAAATGACATGAATTCTCGCATCTTAATTTAGTTAATGTTAGATTTATTAGCAAATAATGTAAGCTCATCATATTTGTACACATTATATGTATATATATACACAATATACATATA